GTCAAAATCCGACGTGGCTTACTGATGCAGTACCGGGGTTGTACTGTATTTCCAAACCGTCAGTTTTGAAATCTCTGTGGAACATGGCTCTGTCCCGAAGCACACGGCGCCAAGATGCCACCGTGAGCGTGTTCAGGACATCTTCCCTGCAGAATATGCTTTGACAGAATGTCCTTTCTCGCGACTGGAAGATACCTTCACATTTCCCAATACCCACACCAGTCTCGGAGGGGGAACGCGTCCATAGGGCATGAACCCCGGCTCAATCTACCCGAGACCAGAGCTAGACGGTGCCTGGTGGCTGCCCACTATCTTCTGATCAGACCCAGGGCAGACAGGCTCTGATAGGATGGGAGAACGTGAACAGAACTTACATGAACAATCCAGACCTACTGGCTGGGTCTAGAGAAGCACTCAAGGCTCTCACCCTGAGACCCTCCTTAAACCCCGAGTGCACACTATCACAAGGTCACCTTCAATGAAATGAGAGGCACACAGAGCATGTACGAGGACAGGGCTCCAGTAAGAACAAAAAGCTTCTATATAAGACCAACCAGTCAATAAATCTGCCAAGGTGTTCCCTGCATGGCCGACACCACCCCAGGGGGAGGCAGGGCTGTTGGAATGATCCAAAGGGAGCTGCAAAGACAGACACCTACACTTGATCCTGGATTATGGACTATAGTATACAGTTTCCATCGCTGGGGGGAAGGGGGACTGAGTAATTTTATATATATATATATATATAGGGGAAGGGGGGCTGATTAATTTTATATATATATATCCCCTGAAAAGAGGGAGAGAGGCCAAATCAGCTGGGGAACTGAAGGTAAGGTACGGGGAAACTGGAGTCCTGGAAACAGACCACGAGAGGGCTGCCACGTTGAGACAAGTGCAGCTCACACACTGGACTGTGTGTGCAGGAATCAAGCGGGGACCGAGTTTGCTGGGTCAACTGTCCATGAAAATCACGAGACCAAAAGCTACCCCCTTGCTCGCACTGCATCCTGCTGCAGCCAAAGCACTGGGTTCCCGCCTCCCGTGAGCGCTGGCGGGGGCGATGGAGCTTCCCTCCCCCCGACACCCCTACCTCTCCAGGTGCCCTCAGAAAACCACAGGGATGACTCAGAGGGCGGAAGGGGAAAACGAGCTGTCAACAGTTCACTTGAAATTCAGACTTTTGACACACCTGCTTTCCTCTCGACAATAACAAAACAATTTGCGCTCAGAGCCACCAGCGAAGAGTCTGCAGTCGTCAGCCATCTGACTGCCCAGGAAACCTGCCGGCGGCTCCTCTGGCCAGGAACTGGATTCCCAGTTTTTTTATGAGGCGGCAACAGCGAGTCCGGAGCTGCACACCAGCCCCTGCGCAGGCGAGGCTGAGGGGCACGGGGGTCACCAGCTAAAAAGCTGGTGTGAAACAGAATTTCACCGCAGAGACTTAGCAACCTGGAACTTAAAAAGCACCAAGCCACCCCTCCGAGGGCCTGGGTGAAAAGTGCATCCCATGCAGGACCTGTGCTGGTGCGTCACACAGGTGGGGGGCACCCACCATGGCCCCTCAGGACAACGGCCTAGCAGAGCTGAGGCGCCCAGGAATGTTCAAGTCAGAAACAAGGGACAGACGCGAGAGGAAACATGACAACACTGCCTGCCGGTGCCAGGGCGAGTGGCAGCTCCCTCCCTCCTCCCCGGGAGTAGAACACTCAGAGAGACGGGTGAGGGGAGAGAAGGCACACAGGGCTCGGTAGTCTGTCTTGAAAATATTTTATTACAAAATACAGTAGCGGTTCGGAGAGGGGTCCAGTATTCTCTAACCCGTGCGCCGCTGAAGGAAGCACCGGGCAACTGGTAAGTGGTGCAGGCACCCGACTCCCACCATCACTGCAGTCCTTCAGGTTGCTGAGAACACCTGTAGCAGGCGCTGGGGTAGAGATGGGAGTCGCCGAGCTTGGTGGGCTGGGTGCTGGGTTGGCTTTGCTCTCTCTAGGGTGAGGTCCGCAAGCTGGGAACCCATTCACAGAGACGAGGCAGGGCAGCCCAAGGTACAGGCCACTACTTCTTATTCCGGGGCTTTAGCTCTTCAGCTGCGTTACGCAGGAAAATGTAGTTCTTCTTCTGGGGGTTATAAAATTCATGTCCCTAAAGAGAAAGAAAAACCAGCCATCTGGTTACTGGGAAGCCAGCAATTGGTGGGCACTGTTCCTCAGGCAGGCCGGGCCGTGTGCTACAGGGGACAGAACCAGGGAAGAGGGCGAGAACGAGCAGCACAACAAAACCGTAGAAGGGAGTGTGTAGGAGCTGAGAGCAATAAGGGCAAATACCCCTAAATGCGTAATTCTGCACCGGCGGGGGTCTCCGGGCAATGCTTATACCTGCGTGTAGGCTGAGTGGGTAAGAGATTGGGAGTATTCCATGAACATACACATTCATACATGGTAAGAGATTGGGAGTATTCCATGAACATACACATTCATACATGGATATTTCATTTTGCTATACTTATATCCATGACTGGTGGCGAATATAGGGACCGATACCTTGAAGGCAAGAGCCACGTTCAGGACCATCGCCTCAGGGACACCGGCGTAAATGAGCGAAGTACAAACTACATCCTAACTTGGTGAGCAGCACAGTGACTGGGGTCTTAGGAGCTCGTGAGCAGCAGCTAAGGTGCAGCTAATGGTCTCCCCATCCAGAGGTAAGAGGGGGACGGACGCGTGCAGACAGACAGGCAGTCCAGTGGACTACCTAACAGCACATACACACATCGGTCTCCCCGACCCGGATCCGAAGAACTAGCTGGTGCCCATGACCAGCACCAGCTGCCCTGAAAAGGACCGCCTTAAGTGCTGGACTGTGGGAGAGAAATGTGGACCAAAACAAACATTATAAAGGAGATCAAGCTTACTGGTTGGCTAGATTTTGGTGGGACCCCAGGATGGGGGCCCTTACCCTTCAAGTCTGAAACTCACCTCATGTTAGGATAATCAGCCATTAAAGATCCAGAGGGAAGCACCGACCCAAGGACAGGAGGGGGGTCAGGAGAGGAGGGAACAGGAGACACGGAGGAGGAAGTGGGCTACGTGGTGATGCAGTAAGGGACGCATCGAACGAGCCCGTGTCTGAATGGCTCCACATAAGACTATACTCTGTAGCCTTCACCTCATCAAGTGTGAAACAACAACTCGTGCAGGGATAACAGGAAGCACATGAGGAAGTGCAAAAAGTGTTGTTGCACTGAGATTTCCATCCTTGTCACAAAATACAATGTGTGAATTATTGAACAGAAATCCTATTTGCTTTGTAATCTTTCACCAAAATCACAAAAGGAGATGAATAAACAAAAGTACAAAAAAAAAAAAATTACCTCCCAAAACAGAGTTTTCAAGAGACAAAGCCCAAGCATGACCTGTTTTCAATGTTCTTCTGGAGAGGGAGGGGAGACATGACGCTCAGCCCAGCACCCATTTACATGCCTGTCGCTAGGTGTCAAACCCCAAACCAAGACTGTGCCCGTGCATCCTCGGGGAGGACGAGCCCAGCCAGCTCTGTCTGAGGGTTCAGAGGAGCCACGTCAACAGGCGAGGCCACGGGGTGAGGGCAGCCGCAGGGGAGCTGTGCTGTGGGGCTATGGCCAGCAGAGGCTGGTCCCACGGGGAGGAGGAATAGTAGCCACAGGGACTGCTCAGAAAGCCAATGCTGTGAACTAACTGGAGACCCAGAGAGAGTCCACTGGGGTGGTAATGACAGAGAACTGGGCTTAGCACAGCAGACAGGCAAGGAAGCTCGGGAACCACAGGCCCCTAAAACAGCGCACTCTTCCTGGATTTTGTGAAACACAAGAGTGGAACGTAAGCAGCTCTCGCTATGAGTGGGCAGTGACTGGTCAGATACAAGGGTGGCCACAGGGGTCCCAAGCTGGCTTCAGACTGATGTACAAGGCCCCAAACTCCAGACAGGGTACCTGCTTCACCCAGGGCACAGTCTAGTTAGTGGTGTGTCCACCACTGAAAGAGCTGGGTGCAAGAGCCTGGCAAAAGCAGGGTGCAAAGGATCTGACTCTCCCATAGCCACTGTGTGGAGCCATCCAGATGCACTGTGAGCCTGTGGGTGGAGCTGAACTGCCCCACAGTGTGTACTGCCCATCTTCCTCCCAAGGAGGGGCTGGTGGGTTCAAAACAGCTAACCCTTCCAGTTAGCAGCCAAGCACGTTAGCCAGTACACCACAGGGGCTCATTCGTATGGGTGCGTGGAGGGCAAGGAGTCTTGGGTGGGTGCAGATGTGGCCGTAACAGTTGTGCACTGACTGGACTTCCCGGGCGCATCCCTCACGTGGCACGACCACCTAGCGACGTGGAGAGCCAGCCAGATCTTGCTGCACGGTGGCTGAGACCGCGCATCCCACCCCGTCCCACAAGCTGTTCACAGGAACTGGCCCAGCCCACAGACAGTTCCCATGGAGTCGGCGCCCAGCCCAGGCCTCCCGCCCAGGAGTCGCACCTTGGACCAGTCGTAGCTAGACGAGTAAGCAAATATGTTTCCGTTGTGGTTGAAGCAGCAGGCTGAGATGGGCTGGTCCAACTGCTCCGAAGTCTTTAGCTTAGTTCTGGCATCTTTGTCCCAAAAGCTGAACCTGCCGTCAGAGCCCACCGTGGCCAGAGTGCCGTGGACGGGGTGGAAGGCAATTCCATTGACCTGCGAGGACAAGGCACCATGAACAGCAGCACAGAGACAGCTCACAGCGACGTGAGCCTGGAACCCAACATATAGCCTGTTCTGTCTGCAGAGCCTCTGGGCCTTGCTGGGCCCCTGCAGCCCAGAGCTGAAGCTAGTCGCTGTGGCCAGCACAAGGCGCAGGGAGCAGCAGGCGTGGGCACTAGTAGACCAGGGTGCGCTAGGAAGGCAATGCCATTGTCTTAGTTTGCAAACGGCCAGTTCTTCTTGGGGTGCCTGTGTAGCTGGGCCCCAGCATCACAAAAGAGGGAGGGGACTCTCAGAAAGCGTCCTGAGAGCTAGAAACACACCGAACCTAGACTAGGCTTCAGCCCTGTCAAGCCCGCTATGACCCCACTGCTACGTCACGGGCAGGCTTAGCTGAGTCCCTCTCGTCTGCGCTGAGAGAGAGAGCGAGGTCAGACAAGGGAACAGAGGCAGACCTGGGGAAAGACTGCAGTCGAGACACACGGCGCCCTCCACGGCTCCACCAAGTAGCAGCAAGCCCTGCCCTGCCCTGCGCTGCGCCGGCACCCCGAGGCTCGCCGCCACCGCCGTGAGCACAGACCCACTGGAGCATAAGCCGACCCGAACATCAGCCGAGGCACCCAATTTTACCACAAAACTGCTAGAGAACCGGCTTACACACGAGTATATGTGGAACATTTGTAGGTCCCCCCCCTCCCCGTTCTGTTCTAGTGGTGCTGGAGAAGGCAGGCAGCCTAGGATGGAGGCCTGCCTGTGGCACAGGCCTCTCTCCACCGAGAGTGCCCACACGGCCTGCAGCTCCTGGGTGGACACAAGATCCCACCCACCTGAGTTTCCAGACCCCCCCCTCCAAGTCGATGTCCATCAAACTCCCGACACCTACCGCGTAGATGTCCTGAGGGGCTGAAGTGTTGGTTCCATTGGATCGGTGGCATTTGAAGGTAAAGTTATCTTTGGCACTGAAAAACAAAAGCCCGCTTAAGCGCTCCCTTAAAAAACAAAGCAAAACAAACGGAGTGAAAATTCCCAAGCTGACTGCGTCTCACTTACGGATTTGGGGGGTTGATGTAGTGAATAGCAACTCTGCCCTCAATGCTCCCCAAAGCAAAACCAGTCGGCTTGTTTTGTTTGTCTTTAAAGATGGCCACACACCGATGCTAGTTACAAAGAAAACAGCAGGTTACCACGAGGGCAAAGTGCCCGCACAGCGAGCAGAGGCAGGGATGGGTTCACTCCTCCAGCCAGAGGGCACCACCCAGCCTCTCCCCCTCCTCTGCCCCAAGGCCGAGAGCCTCCTCGCGGTGCCAGAATGGCAGGAAGACGAGCTCACCATGTGCATCTGCCACCGACCAAGTAGCCAGTTAGGGCCACGCTGCCCACCACGCAGGGAGGCGAGGGTCCAGTGGGAGTGGCCAGGTAGCCCTGATGCTCAGAAGGCAGACCCTGCTGGCCACCCAGATGCCCTCCCAAGGGCTCGAGGAAGGCTCTCTTGCTCTCTCCATGAAGGCTCACAGCAAGAGGTCATGCCCCCCAAGACACACACACACACACACACACGCCATCTTGGGTGGAGGACCAGGTGACCAGAGTTTTCTGGGGACAAAAGGGGTCCTTGCTGCCACCTTCCAGTTGTGACACTCGGGAGAGCCCCAGAGAACCGCCTACTCTGCGCCCACCTGCTCTGAAGCATTCACGGGTTTTGGATGGCAAGACAATCTCACCTGATGCTTCAGCGGCGACTCTATCCTGCGGAATTCTGAGGGCTGGTTCTCCAACTGGTAGACGATCAGGCCCCTCTCAGCTGTTGCCACCACGGCCATAGGGTATATCTAAGGCAGAGAGATGTGAGGTGCACCCAGGGCCAAGGAGTACGCTGCCTGGGTTAGCACCGCAAAACCAACTCTCATGTTTTGGTTTGTTTAATTTAATAACCCAGTGATGGGTTTATGAAGATGTAAATCTGATATAAAAAAAAAAAAACCTTTCATATGCTTTCAGAAGACTTTTCTTAATAATTTCTTAAGAATTATACATAAAAGTCCTTGGTAAGCATTTATAAAATGCTCCTAAGAAGAGGGGGGAAGATATGGTGTCTTCAAATGATAACTGCTCAGCCAGATGGCCCACCTCACCAGCGCCCCACCTCACCAGCGCCCCCACCTGTACACAGGTCTGCGTGTGATTCTTCCCTCTGAGGGGTCCCTGAGCACTGGTACAGGCGTTTTCAAACACAGCAGTGCCATCTAACATGCCACCAGCTGGGGCACTTCAGGGCTCATGGAACTATGCTGCCTTCCTCCTGTGATTACTTCATCACACACACAAACCCTGAACGGTCACGGGGGCAGATGCCTGGGGAGAAAATGCATTCTCTACCCTACTCAGACAGCACCCGTAGACCTCAGACTGGCAGGTCTCAGAGCCGACGCAAGCTTGGTCCCAGACCGCTGAGATTGAGCAAAGATGGCAGCCAGGCAAGTCATGTGCCTTCTGGTTTCCCAGCACATAGAAAAGGAATGTTTACCACAGACCTTTTGGTAGGCACCCCAATGCTTAACCTGCTGCACCACAAGCCCCTGCTACACTGATAGGCATGACAAACCTGCGTATCTCTCCATCCATTCAAAGACAGGACCTCCAGAAGGAAGGAGCCATTTGTGAGGATCCCTGGACTCTCAGCATTTTGTCCCAATTTAAGGGCCTCAATCAGACCAAGCATTAAAGCCCGAGGCGCTGGGAGATCACCCTCTTGCAACAGGGCTCCTGGCAAGAATCGCATATGGTCTTGTTGTCTAAAGGAAACCCTTTCAAAGGGACGAGCTACTGGGCGTCAGTCTGCAGGCGGCCCCTTACCACGTCAGCACAGTAGCACCGCTCAGGGAGCTGCAACACCATCATAGGATTTGATGACCGCGTGTCCCAAAACTAAAGGCAAAACGGAATCAGAAAGTCACTGCTGGGAGCAAGCCCGAGGCACGTCCATGCGAATGCTCTCACTCCACAGGGGTTGGGGGTGGGGGGGGTGGGAGGAGAAATCAGTGTTATTCCAGGAGTACAGTTGAAGAAAGGGGTCTAAGCTGCATGAGCTGCATTTTGTACTTTTCTGTGTATTCTTCGTTTTCCTTAATCATGTTTTACATTCTTTTCTAGAAGTGTTCTTTATTTTTCTGTTAAAATTTTCTCAA